CATCGGCGGTTTCCTTACACATCAGCGACCATGCCCAGCTGGCTTATACTCTCTCCAATCAGTCTGCTTTACAGCCGAGGTACGCACATTAATGCCAAAGTTAAAATTGGAAAAAATTGTATTACTATTTTATGAATTTATAGTTTGAGGGTTATGATGTCGTTGGATGTGATAATGCGTCATATTTGGATTAATTATATAAAAAGTTTTGATCTTTCGATAGTGATCTTAGTCATGGTGTATGTTGATTGTGGAGGACGGTTTTTTAGCATCCAGATCATTAGATTATCCTGCTATGTGCCTATAATGAAAAGTGTGACAGAAAATATCTGATATCTGCCAATATTTATGTTTCATAACCGTCTTTTTTGGTTTCATTTTATGGAATTCAATTTTTGGGTGGCTAAATATAGGCTTTCAAAAAAGCATTTTGCATATTGATATACACACTCATTTTGGGTGGCTAAATATTGGCAATTTTTTAAATTTATTTTGTTCATTTCATTGACAATTTATAGTTGAGGCTAATTAGTTTTGTAAGCAACGGGTCGAGTTTAGGACAATGAAATGAGTCAAAAGAGTCAAAAAAATTGTTGAAAAAAAAAATATATGTGAAAAACATTTTGAACAAACAAAAAATAAAATATAATAATTAAAGTTGATGCGATAAAAATACTAATTGAAATATAAATATTTTGTTGTAAAAAATATGTGTTGAAAATTTAATTGAAAATAAATAGTGGCATTTTGGTTGCTCCATAAAATGTGGGTAAGTGTGTTTTAAAATTTTTACAAATATTAGATATAATTATAGACTGAACTAGGGTCGGCTGTGCGTGCACAACCGAGTCCAATCTAGTATATATATATATAGGATGTGGTTCAAATGAGAACTAAGTCCTAGTGTGAGAACCGTGAGAACTGCTATTTTTATTTGTATGTAGTGCTATGATTGCTTGTGTTTTAGTGCTATTTTTAACTGTGATGTATTTTATTAAAAATAGCAAGAAATTTCTATTAGCATTTGTGAAAATGATAGCACCATGCAATATTAAAAATAGCATCATACATAATTAAAAATAGCATCAAATATGGTTCTCACGGTTCTCACACTAGACTTAGTTTTTATTTGAACCAGCCCCTATATATATATATATATATACATATATATCAACTTACTAATTTACTACTTGCTAATATATAAGTAATCTTGAAATGTAGATTCAAAAGGCAGAAATAGAAATAATAATAATCTTCCATTGTATATGAATGCATAACTTTTTTATTAAGCTCTTTGCTTTGCTTGGGGAAAATGCAGGCACTCTATATATGCCAGCAACGATACCTATGCCAGCAACATTCTTGGATGATCCATTCACAGTCTTTGGTGCGTTACTATTAGATGACGATTTTATATTTCGTTTATCGGTTGTTGGTACCATTTTGCCTGCTCGGCCGTTTATGACTACTTGGGCCGGCAACTCAGTCTGCTGCACGTTTACCTGGAATTTACGTGATTTTCTCGTTTTGACAAGGCTGTACATTTTTTTGTCTCGAATTACTGTTTGATATTGTTCCTGAGAAGCAAGCTAAGATCATCTCCAATGGAGCAATAACAGCTGGAAGAAGCAAGTATTGCTGCCATTGAGGCCATAAACAAAAACCTAGTGTACAAATTTAAAACTGATGGGTAAGATAACGAGAGAGCTGGTTATAGAAAAACCTCTTGAACAGGAAGCATAAAGAAGATGCAAAAACAGATCTTTTGACCCAAGTAGTTGTAAATTAGAACCATACAGGCCAATCAACTATTATTATTTCTATGAAATGTTCACTCAAGTATAACATGTAAAAATCGAATGCAGTATTTAGGCGATTAGCGTAGAAAAGTTTTAATTCGTCAAGATGATCGATCAACAAATATTGAAACAAAACAATCTAACTAATTCATCAAACAGAATAAAATAAGGCACAACAACTTAGAAGAAGTAACAGCAAACGGCACTTGTGAGAATACAATGGCATGTAAAATGGAATACATGAGACAGCTTCAAACATCAGCAGTGTCACATTAAAGTCACGATTTTTTTTATGCTTCAAGAGTAGGACATGAAAGAAAAGAAGAAACATTTTTGGGGAAAAAATTTAAGGAAGGGCACACAAACCTAACCTTTTTTTCTTTTGCAACTGGGAACTCGAGGCTCACTGAGTATTTTATCTTGAACCTCAACAAAAGTCAATAGCTCCTGTCCTTACTGTCTCTATCAAGGTTGAAATCTTTTCTACAAAAAACTATTCTCCTTTTGTAGCTGGAGCATACAGGCGAGGGCCCCGGGGCGAGAAGCTCGCACGCCATCACAGTCGTGGGGCAGAAGGCCTACTCGTTCGGCGGCGAGTTTGTGCCACGTGTCCCTGTCAACAACCATCTCCACGTGTTTGATCTTGTTGACTGGACATGGTCGGTGGCCAACGCGCAAGGCCAAATTCCGCCGCCACGTGTCGGCGTCTCTATGTCCTCCATTGGCGAGACCATTTATGTCTTCGGAGGAAGAGACGAGGCCCACAAGGAGCTGAACGAGTTCTACTCGTTCGACACTCATACCAACACGTGGGCCATGCTTCCCTCCGGCCCGGCCCACCGGAGCTACCACGAGTGTACATTTTTGGCGGTTGTGGCAATTCAGGAAGATTGAACGACTTGTGGGCTTTTGATGTAGTTGATAAGGAATGGGTCGAGTTTTCACTGTCGGGGAAGAGTGTCAAGCCGAGGGGCGGGCCTGGGCTAGCGTCTGTGCTCGGGAAAATATGGGTCTTGTACGGTTTTGCAGGGATGGAAGTTGACGACTTGCATTATTTCGACCTGAAAGAAGGAAAATGGGTTCAAGTGGAGACGGATGGAGAAAATCCGCGCCCGAGAAGTGTGTTCTCGACTCTTGGGATCGGGAAATATATATTTGTGTATGGTGGGGAGATTGATCCAAGCGATTTGGGCCATATGGTGGCAGGGAAATTTGCGGGGGATGTTTACGCGCTCGACACAGAGACGCTGGTGTGGAAAAAATGGGACGATGGGCTGGGCTGTGAGGACCACCCAGGCCCGAGGGGATGGTGTGCGTTTAGCAGCGGGCAACTTCACGGGCAAGAAGGACTGTTGGTGTATGGTGGGAATTCGCCTAGTAATGATCGACTCAACGACATTTTCTTCTTCACCCCTTTCGAGTGAGGCTGTGTGGAAAGCGGCGTTTGGCTATGAGAACTGTAAGATTCTTGTGTGATGTGTGTGTGTGTTTTTTTTTTTTTTTTGGTTCTGGTTTCGGTTCTTTTTGTTCTGGTTAAGTGATGTGTGCAATGGTGTCTGAGGATGCTTTAATATTCGGTGGCTTCATGGTGCAGTAAATAAAAAAGAGATGGTGTTTTGATATTTTTTGTGCTCCTTGTTTTTGTTTAGCTTTGAGTGGCTTATTATTGTGCTAATAATTTCAATATGCAAGCTTCAACTTGGCTGGGAGGCAAGGGACTTTGTTAGAAATTACACAAGGCTTACGACGCAGGCACGCACACAAAACGTAAAGTCTTAACAAAATGATACAGATTTCTGAACTTGTGATTGGGAAAATTGAAGGAAATACATAGAAATTCGATTTCTGGATGTCAATAGAAAATTACAGAGCTCTACTTCAGTTGAACATGAACTAGAAATACCACAAACCTTAACATGTCCTATAAGTCGCTCATCAGCCTGGATGTGGAAATTTAGATAATCAAGATTCAGCATTCTCTTCAAGACCCCATTGGGCTCAAGAAAAACCACACTAGAGAAAATAAAAAGAAAAAAGAAGCACAAAACTATTACAACAAGCTAAAACTGGAAGCCCTCTTAATATAAGATTCTTATGAGAGCTCGACAATCTTGGGCCGCTTTTTCGGTTTCTCTTTCCTCAATGGCTTAGAAGAACAATCTGTTTCAGCATCTTTTGAACATGAACCGTCTTTGTAATCTTGTCTACTAATCTTGTTCTCCCTTTTGTCATCATCCTCATCATCATCATCACTGCTATCTTCACTGTTTGGTAAAGGAATCAATGGTGCACGGCCAGCTATTGCAGATTCTGCAGCAGCTACAGCCTCTGGGGTATGAAGATCAGCGACTCCCAGCATCAGATCCTGTGACCAAAAGTAACAAGACGCATCATTAAATTGACTGATATTATGCAAATAGCCTTAGCTTTAATTAACAAAAAGAAAAAAAAACCTCAAATTGCACCAATGATCGAGATATATTTGTCAAGAAAAATGCAAATGCAAGGGGGTTGTTTCATTTTAAATACCTTGAAAGTTAATTGAGTTTTTCCTTTTCTTTTATTAATTTTCGCAATTTATAATTTTGTGCTTACCCAACTGTTGAAACTAGAAAGTAACTCTTTAGGAGATTGGGAAGGAGGACAATTACCATTTCAATGTATTCCGATTCTTTCCCATTGAGCATTTCAATATCATAATTATCGGGATTATCCTGTGATGAAAAGAGCCTTCAGGTCTAAAGTTTCAGAAATTACAATAGTCAAATACAAAAGGCATCAATCAACATAAGTATTTAGTTTGTACCTTTGCATCGTGCATCAGCTTTTTGTTCGATTCAGATAAGACACTGAGAAAGTCCTGGACTTTTCCTAGAACTGTGAGCAACAAAATGGAACCTTTCAGTACTTCGTTAATTGGGATTACCACATAGCTTTTCATATGAAAAAGGAGATCACACTATACACATTATGCATGACAAAAATACATTAACAGGTATAAATCATAATCAACAACCAAACTCAAAGTGTGTTATTCGCAAAACCAATGTATGGAATTCCCCCATACCTCCCTATATTAACAATGCAACTACTAAAAAACATAATTCAATTCAAGGAGAACCCTTTACCACATTTTAATTGACTATCATTGTTAGGTTGGTACTAACATCGCAAAAACGAAGCACGTCAATGAGGTGAACAATACCAAATGGCTTTTCATATTTTATGATGTTAACCATTTGTTTCCATCTCTCATTTTGCTCAATGTTATCAATGGCGAATGGCGGTCCATGGCGGAAAGCCAAAAAACCGCCATATTTATATGGCGGATGGCGTTGCGGAAAATGGCGGAAGTCATGGCGAACCCAAAAATATATATTTTACATATATTTATGCATATAAAATTTACATATGAACAGATACACACACCTAAAAACGTCAATAAATTTCACAAAAAAAGAGGCATTGGTTTGACAATATTTCCATCCGATGTCGCTTTTATTGTTGGACCTGCTAGCTCGTGAAGGAACCCCGTCAGCCATTTCCTGAAATTTATAAAATGAATATTGTCAAATCTGATTCTCAAATAATAACAATAATAAGTTTAGCAAAATAGAAGTAAATAACTAA